CTTCATTGATGATTAATTGTTCAGTTTTCGTCCCATAAGTTCGCATTTTGTGCTATTAACTCAGTTGTAAAAAGAATCAGTACATGTTGTCTCTAAAGACTTTTCGTATTTTCAGAGAGTGATTAGCTCATAACTCCTTATTTCTTCATGTCACAAAATTTTATTTTTCTCTAAGGCATTGTTTTGTCTAATAAGGCCTTAGTGCGTTTTGCAAATCGTGTCTTACAGATTCCAAGTGCGTGGCAGAGTGTTTTCTAACTCACACTTCACCATATCTTTTTTTCATCTCATATCTTGTTGCCTTTGCTTTCATAACTTTGTATGAGTTACAGAGTGTGTGTTCTTATTGTACTAGATAATTTGCAGATGTGGCAGGACCAACTGTAGATTTAGCATGTTGATTTTATATATTGTTTAGAAACTGTCGCATGCATTTTACAATTGCAGCAGTAATTAATTGTTGACTGTTATTAGCGTAGCATTATAGAAAGAAGGAAAATGCAACAACCAGTATTTAAAAAACTGACCTGGCTTAGGAAAGGAATGCGTAGATTATAAATGCATAGTCTTTTCTGTATTACTGAGGGAGTCTGAATATTCAAAATGGTAGTGAAGATTATCATGAACAACAACAATTTATTAAAGTATTAGTAGTAAAGAATAATAATGATGATTATTGTTGTTATAGTGGTAATAATAATGAACATGACGACAGATGTCGAAAGAGCGATAGTACTACTAGTACAAACAATAATAATAACAATAATAATAATAATAGTAGTGAAGGTAGTAATTGTGGATAATAATAGCACTGATAAGTATTTTCCTTTGTAGCATAAGAGATTTGGCAAGACAATTTGGTTAATAAGTAATATTATTTCAAGTGCAATATTGCGAAATGATAAGTACAGAGGTTTCAAGAATTATTTTGTCTAGTAACATGGTTATAAATAGCATACAAGTAAAATACATTCGAATCTTTGATCTACAATGTGAAATACTTTCTCAGCATCAGTATGTTGTGAAGTTAAGTAAGGCACACAGTGCATTCAGAAGCAAGTAAAAAAGGTGTTCGAATCTGCGGTGTAATTCAAGAAAGTTAGTTGAGATGTTCCAATTCAATCAGAGTAACAAATTAATGAAAGAGACCGAGGATTACAGCATGCTAATGCGAAGCAGATGAGAAGCCCAGCAGACATCAACAACCGTTCAAATATATCTTTGAGAATGGAACCCTCATTACTAACACAATATATTTTAACTGACTGTATAGAATACAGTATGCATGGAAAGATTGCAGTTTCAGTGTATATATGGAAACTGTCAACATCAAAACCTTTTCCCACCACTCCAAGATTAAACCACACGAAGCTTCCCACAAAACTGTGTGATCAAGTTCTGAATTCGTGGTTTGAGATTACATTGTCATTGAGACTCATTTGTGCAACGCATTTCAGTCAATTGTCAATAATCTCAGACCTAAAATCATTTCATCTTCCTATGGAACGTTGCTCAAAAGGTCATTCGTGGTGGTGGTTTAAAGTGGATATTTTCTTATGGATAGATTACTTTCATTGTGTTCACTGTGCACAGTTGCTGTTCTCGAGCTTTAGTTAGATCAATTGGTTGTTGTAGCTTACGGCAAACTCCTCAAACATGATTGAACTTAGTAGACTTTTGTTAATATCTGACGGTATTGATTCTGATTTGATGAAAAATTTTGAGTGTATATTCCATTTCAGAGTACCCAAATGCAGTTATGTGGCATCAAAATGGACGAAGGACTTCATCATTAGAGACTCCTTCGTCCGCAGTGTGAAGCCTGGAAATCTGAGAAAACGTGGATTGTGCGTGCTGCGGTGGTATTCTCCATCGTCATGATGGACGTGGAGAAGTTTCGCAGCACAATGAAGAAGAAAGAAGAAGAGCTTTCGAGCGATGAATTTATAGAACTTGAAATGCGCCGGAAGCTAAACGATTTGGAACGTTGCGCCCTTCAACAACATGAATGGAATTTGAAGAGGCACACTAGAGACACTGTAATGAAGTGTCTTAGTGTACTCAACCAACAGCATAGAAAGCTTGGAAGTCTGAGAAACATGGATTGTAAGAGTGCTGCGTTAGTACCTCCGCTTTTATGATTGTCGAGGAGGACTTCCGCAGCATTATGTTTTTTTTAAATTAAAAAATTTTCGCAAAAAAAAAAAA